GGAGCAATGGAAGAAAGTCATGTAGTCTGATGAGTCCAGATTTACCCTGTTCCAGAGTGATGGGTGCATCAGGGTAAGAAGAGAGGCAGGTGAAGTGATGCACCCATCATGCCTAGTGTCTAGTCATCACTGCAAGATCTTGGTAAAAAATTAATGCAACACTGGATGGAAATAGATCTTGTGACATTGCAGAAGCTTATCAAACAATGCCACAGTGAATGCATGATGTAATCAAAGTTAAAGGTGCTCCAACGAAAGATTAGTGTGTGACCTTTTTTTTTTGGTGGCAACTTTTTTTGGGCCAGGCAGTGTACAATTTCTGAAGGTTTACAATGTTAAAAAAAAAAAAAAAACTACGCAAAATATCAATTTACACACTACACAGATGCTTAACATTGTAGTCACAACAACTCAACACTTTGGGCAATGTATTTGATTATAAGTAGGAAGTTTTATGTAACTAGGAAGCTTTATTTAGATTACTTTTTTAATGACAACGACATTCACTTCCGGTTTCTCTCAAAGTCACTGAGAAGTCATGTAAACAAACTGTAGAGTCCTCTAGTAGAATAGAAGTGAATACAACACTCCATTTATTGCTCGACAGTGTTCCCCAGTCAGATATGCAGTTGGTAGAAAATCATGATTCTGTAATGAGAGAATAAAAAGACATTCTTCCAAACAGTTTTAAACAACACAACGATGTATGTTTGATTTCTCATTTCAAATTATTCAGGTGATATTTAAATTTAAATCTTACTGCTTCAATGCTCATAGGGTTCATAACAACAGCTAGAGCACAGTTCACAGAGGAAGGCTGTTATATTTCATTCAGATGGACTGTCATGGAGCACAATAGGGAGCATTGTTGCAGAAGGCATCCGCCTTTAATGACTTTGTCAAACTTTGTTGTTTCTGCACTCAGCATTTAGAGAGACCGTATGCTGTGATCTGAAAAACCAGCTGAAGCAATGAGTGATGACCACTCCCTGCCTCACTCAGAGCCTTACTGATTACCTGAGTGTACGTCAAGTTGACAAGTGAGGGTGTATGGTGGGTAAGAAGCTGCCTAGCATTGACACCACTACATGTTCCTGACCCACAACTAAACCTGGGCCTGTGAGAAAGTATGTTCTCTCATTAGGCAGGTACTGTTTACCTCTTTTTTTCTCTCTCTCTCTGTCTTACCTCGCCACACAACCGTTAGCCCAAAGGAGAACCATAACTTGTGAAGACTTGCAAGGCAAAGCTCCATGTAGACCTGCCTCTGTGCCTGCTGGCTTGAGCCAATGTTTTCAAAAGGAGATTTAACAGAAACATGTTTCTCTCACCCCTGCAATTAGATCAAACCCTTCGTATGCACTGAATGAACTTGGTGTTTTAGTCAGTTTAGCCCAGTGGAGAAACTGAATCAACTCATTCTGTGCAAGCTTGGACATAGTTGAATAATCAATAAATAGTTTTACACAAACCAATTGCTGTTGTATAAAGTAACAAATGTTTAGCACAAGTTATCATTAAATTTACGTAAAAAATGAGGTTACATTGGCTAATACTAAACCTGTACAGTTTTGCATGACACCTTTTGTTCAGATAGTACATCAGCTTGTTGGTGCTGAGGTTTCAAATGTTTCAGACCACCTGATTAGTCAGTCGAGTCACTCCAACGTTTACTCATGTCCTGGTGAGCTGATGCATTCAGCAGCCAGCACCATCGACATGTACACTTTTCACTGTTGTCATTGTTTAAACTGTTTACACTGTTTAAACTGTTTACAATGTTTACATTTAGTACAGTTTTTAAACAATTTACACTGTTTAAAATGTTTAAACTGTGTAAACTATTTACATTATTTACACTTTTCAAACTGTTTACACTGTACGCTTTATAAACTGTTTACAATTTTTACATTTAGTACACATTTTAAACATTTTACACTGTTTAAACTGTTTACACTGTTTAAACAGTTTACGTTTACACTGTTTAAAGAGTATACAATTTTTGCATTTAGTATATTTTTAATCAGTTTACGTTGTTTAAAATGTTGACACTGTTTACACTTTTTAAACTGCATACACTGTTTACACTTTTGAAACAGTTTACACTGTATGAATGGTTTAGACTGTTTAAACAGTTTACCCTTTTTGCAAGATTTACATTGTTTAAACAGTTGACACTGTATACAATGTTAAAATGGTTTACACTGTTTACAATGTTTACACTGT